GACACTACAAACTTTTGTAGTCTGAAAAGCGGACACTACAAACTTTTCTAATGAAAAGGCACACACTACAAACTTTTGTAGTCTAAAAAAGCGGACACTATAAACTTTTCTAATGAAAAAGCGGACACTACAAAACCTTTTAATGTAACCCTAATTTTGTACTCTAAGTCCAAGCTTTTGTAGTCTAAGTCTGACTTTTGTAGTCTTTTGTAGTCTATCAGTAAACTTTGTAGCCTATGTCCAACTTTTTTGTAGTCTATCAGTAAACTTGGTAGTCTATATCTGACTCTTGTAGTCTGTCAGTGTTGATTGCTCTTTTAGGGAATGCACCTTCCTTTTTGGTCAAATTTCCCACAATATGATATTTGTTGCCCTTTCATCTAGCTTTCTAAATGTGTTGGAATCATGTTATTTGGTTTTGTTTTCATGAAGAAAAATGCAAAAAACCAAAAAAAACACGACGCTTTTGGAATTCCTTTACCTCATATCTCCACAACAGAAGCACTTCAGAACATAATTCAACCAGATTCGGGAAGCTACAGTGCAGGGGTACAACTTTCGCTTTTTGACTATTTTTGGTAATTGGTCATGTGACCACCCTCCCAACAACCCATGTGATACATATCATCATTATTATATAGTTTTCGGTAATGAAAGTGCCAAAGGGCCTAATGAAATATCCTAATGAAAAATCTAAGAAATAGTAATGAAAGTGCCAGGGAGCCTAATGAGAAGTGATGAAATCATCAAGGTGCTCAATGAAATATCCTAAAAGAAATGGTAATGAAAGGGCCAGATGCCCCAATGAAATCTCCCAATGAAAAATCTAATGAAATGGTCAAGGAGTGTAATGAAATATCCTAATGAAAGCGCCAAGAAGCATTCTAATGAAAATTCAATGAAAAGGTAATGAAAGGGTCAAGGAGCTGAATGAAATATCCCAATGAAAATTCCAAGAAAATCTAATGAAAGTGCCAAGGAGCCTAATGAAATATCCTAATGAGAAATATAAAAAATCGTAATGAAAAAGCGTAGGAGCCTAATGAAATATCCTAATGAAAATTCTATGAAATGGTAATGAAAAAGCACAGGAGCCTAATGAAATATCCTAATGAAAATTCTAAGAAATGATAATAGGGTAGTTCACGGTAACGTTTTTTGGCTTGTTTTTCATCCTGTTTTTCAATCAAAAAACGACATCAAAAAGGTCTCAAAAACATCTCAAAAACAAGATGAAACTGAAAAACACCTCTGAGAGGTGTTTTTCGGAAACTTTCTGTTTTTTGTTTGTTTTTTCATTTTGTTTTTCGTCAAGGAATTCAGTCTCCGACGCACACCATCGTGACCACGCTTGACTGCTCTCATCACCCACTCCCACTACCGACGAGTGTTGCGTGCGGTTCGCATCTCCGTCCTTGATGCCTAAGGAAGCCACCAGTACGAAACCTCGCAGGGCTCAGCGCAAGCCTCTGGCTTCTAAAGGGACTCAAGCCAAGGCTGTTGACACGGAGAGTTTTGCTGGCAGGCGTCTGCAGGTTGAATGGGACAACACGAGGACCAACCGCCTTCTCGATTGGTTGGACCAAAATCCAGACGACCGTAACCGCCTCTTCTCAGACTCGACTGCTGCAGCTAAAGAGCAAAATCGTCGCAAGGTGACCGCCAAGGGGAGCAAGAACCGCTACTACCTGGCCCTAGCAAAGGCGGTGTTTGACTGCAAGGAGGAGGATATCGAAATGCGGGCATGGTACCTCAAGGAACCTACTAAGTTCTCCTCCAGTCTTTCTAGCTACCTCAACGGGTGAGTTTCCCAACTATCCTCCTCCTTCCTGGAAGGCTAACATGGCCTGCCTGGTCTAGCCTTCGTTCAAAGTACCGCGAGTTCAATCAGAAGCTTGGCCGTACTGGAGCGGGCCTTCCATATGACGAGATTGAGCCTGGATCGAATATTTATAACCTCATTGGTGTGTTCTCATTCTGACGAATATCTTTCCGACCTCAAACTTTGAGCAGACCAGATGCAGGAAGAATTTCCATACTGGGAACGCCTTCATGGATACTGGCGTACCCTACCGAACTACAACCCTCTAATGGTTACCTCACAGCCTGATCAGGACCTGGAAGGTGGTGCACTCGAGCTCTTCGAAGGTGGTGCTACTGCGGCTCTGCTGGATCTCGGTTTTGAGGGTGAACCTCCTGCTCATCCTGCGTTTGCCGGTGTCGGCTCCCTGACACCTGAGGAGCAAGCCGAGATCGATGCGGATCCAGACGCTGATGCTGAAGGGGAGGATGAGGACATGGCTGATGTTGACGTACGTTTTTCTCCACAACCTCAGCGCCACTGAAGCTCACGCCTCCAGGCCAAGAAAGCCACGGACCAGGCTCAGCTCACCCCCACGCCTGCCCCACGCCCAGCCGCCAACATGGCGTCTACGTTCGGTGCATCGAGGGTGGGTAATGCTATTGGAACTGCCAAGGTAGCCGCGTCTACTGTCAAAAAATCTTCACCACCCTCTCGTTCTTCAGCTTCTCGACCGCTTGGATCGAAACAGAATCCCTTGATCGCCTTCGCTCTTGACACTGAGAACGACACTCGTGTTGCTGCAAAACTTCGGGACAAGAAACTTGACCGTGATATCGGCAACATCGACGTTAGTAAAGCCAAGATCGCTCTCCTTTCTCAGCGTGAGGCAGGTGAGATTGAAAGGAAACGTAACGAACATCAACTTGTTCTTCAGCGTGAGGCTGCTGATAACGAACGTCGCCGTGAAGAAAACCAGGTCCGTATTCTCGAGCTCCGGCTCAAGCTTCAACAAGCTCCACCGGCTCCACAAGTTGGGGATAACTTCACTCACCAGCCACTTTTTCTCGATCGTAACGATGGCTTTGCTTACAATGCTGATGCCTTCAACAGGGTTGATTATGGTGGTGGAAACTAGCCTTGTCTCCAAACTCGTGGTTTGGTTCATTCACACATTCCTTTAATTACTTCGCATACCACTCATTTGTTACTATCGTTTACTTCACTATTGATATCATTTCAAGCTATTATGGCCGTCGGTGGGCTTGTGTGAATTCACTATTGAATAACTTGTTCATGAGATTCCGACGGAACACTTGACCTGGATGAATGTCCGGCTGTATCATTTCCCCATCTTCTTCACCACCACCCTCTCCTCGATTTGCAGCTCTAACCCTATCTTGTAGACCCTCACGGATAAGAGTCTCTCTCCACTGGTCATCAATGCCTGTCTCTTCTTCGATGCGAATAATGAGGTTATGAAGGATAATACAACACCGTATCCACAGAATCAGTTCCAGATGTTTCTTGTTATCTGTAACTTGAAGTCGGATCTCCTTAAGAGACTGAAATGTACCCTTAAGAAGACCGATGCAATGCTCTGACCGAATCCGGACCTACAAACATCCTTTAGTGGTAAAGCATATGGCACGGTAAGATGTACCTTTGAGACATGATAATTATACGACCTCTGATCTGCTGTAAGTTCACCACCAACAGGTTTCTTGAATGGACAGACACACCATGATTCACATGGATATGCAGAGTCTGCCCACACCCATTCACCATCATGGAAAATCTTGTCATGCTCCTTGCAGGTGCGAGTGCTTCGAAATGCCCATGCATCATGAACACTGCCAGTATGTCCGATGCTGTAGTCAACGATGAGAAGATTATGGAGAAGATTGACTATCTATGGAACGAAATTCAGCTTCTCAAATCTGTAAAAATACAGTAACATACTTGAGCATCAGCAGAATAGTCCTTGTTTTTGTCAAACCATGCATCCCCATGCAATCCTGGGCGCTAAAATAATGCAAATTTAGTCCCATCTACAGCGATAAATCCATCACGCCATTCAGGACAGCATGCATCTTCAACCCATTGCTTTGAGGTGTCTTTTTCTGCCTCAGTCGGAAGATGGACAGCGTTATCGTGAAGTGAAATTAACGCAATCATAACACGGATTGTGGACTTCCGAACAACTCCTACAGATACACCTGCCCAAAGCGCGATATCGGTGAATGAGCTCGAGTTTCCATAATGACCAGCACGAGCAAGGTAAATTGCAAGCTGTATGTGAACTGGAAGCTGGGGGGAATTGGAGCTGTTAAGAAAAATGTAGTGGTCCTTGAGAAGATCAAGTAGTCGTTGAAATGTGGTGGGGTGGACTCGAAGCTTAGAGCGAAAATTGCGAAGACCATGGTCTGCCCAGTGGTCAAGAAGATGAAGTTGCGATGCCTTTGGATTGGGTGGCTGAGGCTCAAGAACTCGATTATCTCTCATATATTGGAGTAGCGTTGATAACCGCCCACGAGAGAGTGATTCAAGGTCTTCCTCAACATCAGATGAAGTGGGTGACGAGTGTGTACTGCTAGTGGGACTTGGAGGGTCCTCCATATCAACATCTATCCCGCCAGGGAGGTCAAAGTTTAGTATCTCCAGCTCTAAATCCAGTGATAAGTCCTCCAACTCCTGCTGAAGGGCAGAAACAGCAGCATCAAAGGTATCGAGGTCGTTAAGATCTGCGGGCGCCTCGCCATCACTCCCCTCAGACATTGACGAGACAGAGTCATCACTCTCGAGCTCTCTCTCGAGTTTGGCCCTCTGTTGTTTGCTGTAGGTCTCGGCTAACCCGTCCATCCAGCGTTGACGAGTAGATTTGTTAGGCATAAGGTGTATCTAGATGCACAGGGGACGAAGCAAGGGAAAAGGCTAGCGCTATCAGTGCTGATTACCCAAGATATGGCGGAGTTGAACAGAAGCCGACACGCCGAACACACGTGAATTTTGTTTTTCAGCTGTTTTTCCAGAATTTCGGGGGGCGGAGGTTCACGGTAGCCTTTTTTCATCTGTTTTTCAGTTTGTTTTTCGTCTGTTTTTGCTGCCAAAATATTTGAGTTGGCAGTAAAAACAGATAAAAAACAAACTGAAAAACAGCCGAAAAACAGCCGAAAAACGTTACCGTGAGCATCCCTAATGAAAAAGCGCAGGAGCCTAATGAAATATCCTAATGAGAATTCTAAGAAATGGTAATGAAAAAGCGAAGCAGCCTAATGAAATATCCTAATGAAAATTCTAAGAAATGATAATGAAAAAGCGCAGGAGCCTAATGAAATATCCTAATGAAAATTCTAAGAAATGGTAATGAAAGTGCCAAGGAACCTAATGAAATATCCTAATGAAAATTCTATGAAATGGTAATGAAAGTGCCAAGGAGCCTAATGAAATATCCTAATGAAAATTCTATGAAATGGTAATGAAAAAGCGAAGCAGCCTAATGAAATATCCTAATGAAAATTCTAAGAAATGATAATGAAAAAGCGCAGGAGCCTAATGAAATATCCTAATGAGAATTCTAAGAAATGGTAATGAAAAAGCGAAGGAGCCTAATGAAATATCCTAATGAAAATTCTAAGAAATGATAATGAAAAAGCGCAGGAGCCTAATGAAATATCCTAATGAAAATTCTATGAAATGGTAATGAAAGTGCCAAGGAGCCTAATGAAATATCCTAATGAAAATTCTATGAAATGGTAATGAAAAAGCGAAGCAGCCTAATGAAATATCCTAATGAAAAGTCTCAGAAATGATAATGAAAGGGCCAAAGAGCCTAATGAAATATCCCCATGATATCTCATTATCCTTGCCTATAACTTATGAAAGATTCCAGTGACAAATTGAATGAA